AGGGTGGTGCGTGTGCGTGCTCCTTCCATTCCACGACGTCGCGGATACTCAATCCAGAGCACGCAGAATCGAATCGCACGAGGTTGCTGACGCGTCCGTCTCCCATCTCGAGTCAAAACGACGAGCCCGCAGCGCAAGCGCCTACAAATATTGTCGGGTGTCGAGAATGAGGCTGCTTGTGTGAAATAATTGGGACGACGAGGCCGTGAGAGAGCCTTGGGCACTTCGGGGACTCCAATCGCGAGTTTTGGAGAGCTGGGGGAATTGGGCAGACGGGGGGATTTGGGAAAACTGGCAATTTGGGGGAAGCCCAGAGGGGAAGGGGGAAAAGGGGAGGGATCTGGGAATGCGGCGGCGCACCTGTCATTTGGGGGGAGTGGAGGGAGGGTCCATTGGCTGCACACTTGCAATCTCGAGCGTTGATTCTTTTATTCTGACAGCTGACAGTCGGAATGACAGCTAAAAGGCATATCGACCGGCTTGATTTCAAAGAGGACGTCCCGTGACCTGTCAGTAAACAATTTGACATCACAAGGAGCCACATAAGCATACTACTGTATAGTGCGAAGTACTAGCACAGCACAGAATGTACAATGTGATATAAATGTGAATACTACCAGCCCATAGAGAATATGTACCGGTATCATACTTGAACCTTGCTGCGATCAGTTGTTGATCGTAACCAGGATCACCTCAGGAAGGTTCGCACACGACCAAGTAGTGGTGGTGGGCCCTTGACCTCAAATCAGAGTGAATGTAAAATGATTGAGATAAATTAAAACATGCAAATACAAACATATAAATAAGCGTACAAGGTGGAATTCGAAACGACCTAGCTAGCCATGTACTTTAAGGGGTACATTCCCTTATTGCAGCGAAACCCAACCGTGCGACTCCAGACGGTTACAAACTGCTCGGGCAGAATCCTCGCCACTGCTGCTGCCTGATGCTGTTTGCCCTGACGGTCCAGATGCTCCGTAACCGTACGACCCTTCGCGTCATTCCCCTGTTCGTCTTCAGCTTCGGTACTGCATGCTTCGATTGCTACGGTCAGGAGTGCACAGTAACACTTCATCTTTTACTATTCGTAACACCCCCCCTTCACTCCTGGCCGTAGCAGGTATTGACCCGCTTGACCACTTTGCTGAGTTCGGAGCAGTGCTGGTACTGCTGATGTGACAGTCGCTTCGTGAGGAAGTCAGCTGCCATGTCACCCGTCGGGCAGTAGGTTAGGTCAACCTTGACCTTGTCAAATTCGTCCTTGACGAAGAAGTACCGCAACGCAATGTGTTTGGTGCGGTTGACGAATCCAGGCTTGTTCACGATCCTGATCGCGCTCTGATTGTCGCAGTGCAGGAGAAAGGTGGGGGAAGATGGAATTTCCGCCTCCTGTAAGAGCTTCTGTAGGTAAAGTCCCTCGCCAAATGCTGCTGTTGCGGCGATGAACTCAGCTTCCGCTGATGACAGGGCAACCAGCTCCTGTTTCTGCGAATTCCATGAGATGGGTCCTGTTGGTTCAAGGCGGAACAGGAACCCTGTTCTGGACCGTCGATTGTCGGGGTCAGCAGCGTGATCAGTGTCCACGTAGCCGATGAGGCTGAAGGAAGTGGTTGGGACTGTGGAATAGCAGAGCTCGACATTGGGCGTTGAGATGAAGAACTGCAGGGCCCGCTGAAGATCCAGGAGATTCTCAGCCGTTGGTTTGCGGGAGTACTAAGCCAGTTGGCTCGCGATGTACGAGAGATCGGGCCTGCAGGTGACAGAGGTGAAGAGTAGGCATCCCAGCTGCTGCTGGTAAGTCTGGAGTCCAGCGGGGGACAGGGCTTTGTTGTCAGGCTTGTGGTTCGGTCCTGAAGTGCGGTAAGGGGTGGAGAGTGGTGCAGGCGCAATGTTGAAGCGTTTGCCCAGCTCGTCTGCGTACTTGGCTGCTGAGAGGTGAATGGCTTCTGGTGAGTAAGAGATGTTGAGGCCGAGAAACTGCTTCACGTCATGGTTGCAGGTGATGTCAACGCGCCCCGCGAGATTCTTCTCGAACTGCTCAAGCAGTTCGTTGCTTGACCCTGTGTAGAGGAGGTCGTTGACATAGACCGTGAGCAGGATATATTCACCGCGGAAGTCTCGGTGATACATCCCTGGATCATGAGGAAACTGCTTGAAGCCTATTTCAAGCAGGATGTTGTGCAGGTACTGCTGCCAGAGCCTTGGCACCTGTTTGATCCCGTAAAGGGATTTGCGTAGCTCGCACACGCGTGAGTCCCCTCCGCCGTATATGTGCGGCTGCTCCACGTAGATCACTGCGTCCACTAGCGCGTAAAGGAACGCGTTCTTCACATCGATTTGTCGGAGCGGGAGGTGTCGTGCGGCAGCGATGGCGAGCAGAATTCTGACCGAGGTGTGATGGTCGACTGGCGCAAATGTCTGGTCGAAGTCAATGCCGTGCCTCTGATCGTAGCCGCGTACGACCCAGCGCACCTTAAATCGCTCGATTGTGCCATCCGTTGCGGTCTTCACGCGGAAGACCCATTTGCCGGAGAGAATCCTTCTCCCCTTGATTGCGGCGTGATCGACTAACACCCAGGTGTCGCGGGATTCGAGTGCCCTGATTTCTGCATCCATCGCCTCGCGCCACTTTTTGCTGTGTGGTCCCGTGAGTGCCTGGCGCGGATTCTTGGGCTCGATGACACGTGGGGCCATTGAGGTGGCGGTGTGGAGCCCTAGCAGCTGTAGTCTTGAGACGGTGCTGTCGTGGCGATGCTGCAAGATGACCTCCTGTACGTCATCGTCGTCGCTCTCTGGTTCAGGCGGTGGTGCTACTGCGCCTCCGCCGCTTCCTCCTGCTCCGCCGAATCCTCCTGCTCCGCCGACTCCTCCACCTGAGGGGTCTTTGTCATCGTCGTCGTCGCTGCTGCAGCGATCTCCTCCTGTGAATTCGCCTCTGGTATCTTGCTCCAGGATGGCTGCGGCGGCTTCGTCCTCGGGCGTGGCGTAGCTGTGCCCGTCGTTGGCGTAGACGCGATTTGCGTTTGTCCGTTCGTCTTCGCGGAACTGGCCGAGGAAGAGTCGTTCGTAGAAAATTACGTCGCGTGCTTTCGTAATTTTCTGGCTGATGAGGTCCAGGATTAGCCGTGCTTTGTATTCGCGGCTGATGCCGAGGTGGATCCCCCAGCGCGCGCGGCTTGCGAATTTGCCGATGGTTGATGTCGGCGGGCGGTACTGCACCATGCACCCCCACACGCGGAGCATGGATGTGTCGCCCTTCGTGCCCATCCACTTCAGATGCGGGGACAGGTTTCCGGTGATGGCTGTGGTTGACAGCAGGTTGTGCACCCGCACGGCGTGATGCATCGCGTACGTCCAGTATGTCTGGGGAAGCTTGGACTGCTTCAGCAGCGCTCGTACCTTCGTCATGAGCGTGCGGTTTGTGCGCTCAGCAACGCTCTGCTGCTGGTGTGCGTAGGGGAGGGAGACGTGGTGCTCGATTCCTTTCTGCGCCAGGTAGTCCTGTATTTCCTTGTTGCGAAACTCCGCCGCGCCGTCCGACTGCCAGACCTTCAATTTCTCTCCGGACTGCCTCTGCGCGTGCGCCAGCCAAAGGCGGAAGGCCTCGTAGGCTCTGCTTCGGGCCTCCAGGTTCACAACCCACACGTAGCGGGTTCCTGCGTCGATGAATGTGAGCGTGTACTGCTCGTCGTTGGTTCCGCAGTAGCCTACGACGAGGAAGTCGCTATACACCTTCTCCAACTTGGCGTAGCGGTTGGTTCCGGGTTCTAGCAGGGGGAAGGGTTGATGACTCAGCGCGGCTTTGGGGCAGACGGTGCAATTGCGTGGTTGTGAGATGCTCCTCACTTTGGTGCCATCAGGGCGCAGGAGTGCGCCAGGCGCGAACACGCCAGCCTCGATGCAATTCTTCAGTGTCACGCGCGAGGGGTGACCGAGGCGCTTGTGCCAAAGGTCATCGTTGGCGCGGAATCCAGAGGTGTGCATGTAGCGTGCGCGCATTGCTTCGGGGTCCTCGTCAGGTACTGGGGCAGGATCCGCTGCTGCTTCTTCAGCTTCTTCTTCTTCGTCGTTCGCAGTCGTCAGCATCACCGCCAAGAATTCCGTGTCGAGAATCACGGAGAAGGGGATGTTGGTACCGGGGATCGTTCCGGGGAAAGAGGTGGGCTCGCGCGGCTCGGGGTCAGGTCCGTGGACTGTGCGACAGGGGGTTGAGGGCTCATTCCCCAATCGATGGTGTCCTTAGGGTCGCGGTGCGGCTGGACGTCAGGTGGGGGTAGCGCGGGTGCAGGTCGGCACGGGGGACGACCGAGAGGAACAACAGGAGGTTCCGCCTCTGCTTCTTCTTCCCCCCTTTGGTCTTCACGGGAAGTTCCCCAGCCTCCGCCGGAGGTGCCCCAACCGCTTGTTTCGCCGCCAGATGCGGTGCCCCATCTACCGCCCGCACTTGCCCAGGTGCCGCCAGTGTTGCCGCCAGTTGCGGCGCCCCATCCGCCAGTGTCGCTCGTTCCCCATCCGTCGGCGCTTCCCCAACCCCCTTCATTGGAGGCACTTTCCTCTTCTTCAGCGCCCCATCCGCCGAAGGCGAACGTGCCACGTGCCTCGGCGAGACTGCGCTGGCGAAGCTCATCTGCTTCGTGTCGCGCCAGCTCCTCTTCTTGCGCGATGGTGAGCTTCTTCTTGGGGTTAGGGTCGCGCCAGTGGGGGTAGATCTTCAGGAAGGCTTCCTTCGTGTAGGGGCGCGGAGTTCCTTCCGCTTCCAAGGTGCCGATGTTTGTACCGCGCAGGATCCCTTGAAGGTGGCGGGATGCACGTCCGGGGAGAGGATGTTCCTCCGTGCCGTAGATGTTGCGCGTTGCGATTTCGGGCTCCATGGTTGACATGCCCTCTTCTGGCGGCGCGAATTGCTCAGCTTCGGCGATCGCCGCGAGTCCGCGTCCGGCGATGGCGCTCGTTGACATGCCCTCTCAGGCGCCTGCAATGGTCCACTCTCAAGTACCGCTCTACTGCAGAGGCGGAAAAGGGGAGGGCGGATGATGGGGGGCCATAGGAGGGGAGGGCGGGTGATGGGGGGACGGAGGAGAGGACAGCAAGCACTGGTGGAGGGGCGTCAGTAGGTGAAGCAGTTGCAGCAGTAGGCGAGCATGATCCCAAGGGTCACCATCTGCAGCGGCACCATCGCAACCAAAATCACTGTCCTCCTCACCATCGTCGTCGTCCTCCTCCTCATCACCATCATCACCACCATCACCACCACCACCATCATCACCATCATCAACCCCACCACCATCATCCCCAGAAGCAGCGGCAGCAGAGGAGGCATTCCCAGGGACGGGAGTGTCAAGGCTGAGTGGCGCCACAGTCACATGGCACTCTGCTCTGGAGGACGTGCCTGAGGGAGGTGAGATGTGCTTTGAGTTGTCTCAAATACCCGTCATTTACAGACAAAGCCAACAGGCATCCCCAGGGACAGGAGTGTCAGGGCTGAGTGTCAGTGTCTCAGATGTGCCAGGGGTAGGTGAGACGTGCCAGGGGGAGGTGAGATGTGCCAGGGGGAGGTGAGACGTGCCAGGGGGAGGTGAGATGTGCCAGGGGGAGGTGAGATGTGCCAGGGGGAGGTGAGATGTGTCAGGGGGAGGTGAGACGTGCCAGGGGGAGGTGAGATGTGCCAGGGGGAGGTTAGATGTGCCAGGGGGAGGTGAGATGTGCCAGGGGAAGGTGAGACGTGCCAGGGGGAGGTGAGATGTGCCAGGGGGAGGTGAGATGTGCCAGGGGGAGGTGAGATGTGTCAGGGGGAGGTGAGACGTGCCAGGGGGAGGTGAGATGTGCCAGGGGGAGGTTAGATGTGCTAGGGGGAGGTGAGATGTGCCAGGGGGAGGTGAGATGTGCCAGGGGGAGGTGAGATGTGCCAGGGGGAGGTGAGATGTGCTAGGGGGAGGTGAGATGTGCCAGGGGGAGGTGAGATGTGCCAGGGGGAGGTGAGATGTGCCAGGGGGAGGTGAGATGTGCCAGGGGGAGGTGAGATGTCCCAGGGGGAGGTGAGATGTGCCAGGGGGAGGTGAGATGTGCCAGGGGGAGGTGAGACATTCGTGCTGCAACCGACTTGATACTGCACACAGCGCGTTCCATCCATCCCCCACACACCCTTCCACTTCCATTGTGTATCTGTGTTCGTGCACACACATACAGGCATCGTCTGACATGCTCGCCTGCACACATTAAGTGTTAAAAAATGATTTATTTATTTTTTTTTCGCTTTTCCTTGCTTCTCCAATGCCTGCCCTGGTCTGCATTGCTTCACCCCTCTCTACTCCTCTCCATTCTCTCTCCATCCGCTCTCTTCCACCCCTCAGTGCCCACCATCCTCATTGCGCACGAGTTCTTTGATGCCCTGCCCATGCATCAGTTCCAAGTGAGCGCCCACTACATTCACTACAGAGCATTTCGTTTAGCACATACCAGTCCACTAGATCCAATGCGCCTGCAACTGTTGAATGCTTGATCAGTGATAAATGCATGAGCCCGTGCAGTCTGCAGGCGTCATTAGGCTGCAGATTGTCTTCCTCTTTCATGCCGTGCCTTGCTGTCACAACCAGGCATGTTTAACACGCCATGGCATGGCATGGCATGTTAAAGCATTGGCTTGACATTGGCATTGCATGTTATCGCGCTGTCTTGACATTGGCATGGCATGGCAGAAAACGGAGAGAGGGTGGTGTGAGAAACTGGTTGATGTGGCCGAAACAGACAAAAAAGGCCATCCATCTGAAGACCCCTCCCACCCAAGCCATGCACAAGGGGACAACAGTGGCCGTCCATCTACCGACTACCCTTTCCGTTTCGTCCTTTCCACCGGGCCGAGTGCCGCAAGCACTCTTTGTCTTCTTCCTCGCATGCAATGGGCCCCAATGGAGGAGCGGGCGGCAGCCGTCCACGTGGAAGTTTGTCCTATAGCAGTGAAGATTGCGCTGCAGATCACGGAGAGGGTGGCGAGAGACGGTGGGGCGGCGCTGATAGTGGATTACGGGGAGGACAGAATGATATCAGACAGCCTGCAGGTGCGCTTTGAATCCTCTCATATCCCTGCCTCTTCTCTCTTGCTCCTCCTCTGCGTCCTCACTCTCATTCTCTCCCCTTAGGCTATACAAGTACGTTAGCACGAGTTTGTTGTATCTTATATAACCTCTGCGTCCTTCACTCACCTCCCTCGATCTGTCGCCCACCTCCTTTGCTTCCCTCACTCACTCACTCTCTCTCTATCTCGTGCCCCACAGGCCATACGCAGCATGTGTTTGTGAATGTGCTGGATGCGCCTGGCTCGGCGGACCTGAGTGCGCATGTGGGCTTCTGAGGCACTTCAAAACACCCCCATTCTCTCTCCTACCCTCTCCTTCCCCCCACAGGCCATCCGCAAGCATGAGTTTGTGAATGTGCTGGATGCGCCTGGCACGGCGGACCTGAGTGCGTATGTGGACTTCGCTGCCCTCCGCCAAACTGTCATCGACTCCAAGTGTGAGTGCTTCTCCGCCTCTGGTAGCTCTGCTGAGAACTTTCTTGTTAGCTATAAGAGCCTCTTAATGACAATGGGAATGTGCTCATATGAACCTCTCATCAACTATGGGGACCACTTATCAACTATGGGGACCACTTATCAACTATGGGGGACCACTTATCAACTATGGGGACCACTTATCAACTATGGGGACCACTTACAACTATGGGGACCACTTATCAACTATGGGGACCACTTATCAACTGTGGGGACCTCTTATCAACTGTGGGGACCTCTTATCAACTGTGGGGACCACTTATCAACAATGGGGACCTCTTATCAACTATGGGGACCTCTTATCAACTATGGGGACCTCTTATCAACTATGGGGACCTCTTATCAACTATGGGGACCTCTCACCAACTATAGGGACCTCTTATCAACTATGGGGACCTCTTATCAACTATGGGGACCTCTTATCAACTATGGGGACCTCTTATCAACTATGGGGACGGCATAATGGGATCTCTACAATGAAAACTGCACACCTGTTTCGCTCATGCAATGCGGTTGCCCTTTCTCCTCTCATGCAAGCTGTTCCCCCTTCTTCTCTCATGCATGCTGAACCTTCACATTGCTCCAGTGGCCACTCGTACGCCAATGATCCGTGTGCACACCTGCTGGTGCCACGTCTGCTTCATGCCCACCTGTTGGCAGTTACACAGCCTTGCTGCGGCAGCCCATATCTCCCCATGCCCAATCTTGCCCATGTCCCCTTCACCTCGCCACACAAGCCCTCCCTTTCACAATGCCGGCTCGGCCGTATGGCCCCATCACTTACTCACATATGCTGGCCCTGTTTGAGAAGCCTGCCTTTTTTCCTATTTAGAGCTTCAGATCTCCTCCTCTTTCCCCTTCTCGTGACCTCTCTGTTTTCTCATTCCCCACAGTGCCTGCACGGGTATACGGCCCCATCACCCAGTCACAGCTGCTGGGGCGGCTGGGCATCAACTTCCGCGTGGAGGCAACTCCTTCGTACCCTCCTTATGCCCCCTCTCTCCCCCCATTTCCTCATCCCCCCTCACCCGTCTCAACCCTTACAGTGCCTGCACGAGCATACGGCCCCATAACCCAATCACAACTACTTGGCCGGCTGGGCATCAATTTCCGCGTGGAGGCGCTGCTGCGAGGGGCCTCAGAGCAGCAGGCCGAGCCCCCTCGTCCCCTCCTTGTGCCCCCTCTCTCCCCCCCTCTCCTCACTGTCAAACATATGCATATGTTATATTTGTGGGTAGGCTGTAGTGGGGTAGATAATGTGGGGTATAACTCCTTAGGGTTTTCTCCTTGTACCCAACTTTCTCGATAGTGCAATCATTCCCCTTTACTCTCGACATGGTATCAGAGCAACATAGGTCCTTAGGACCGTTTTAGGACTGGTTTTCAGGGCCCACCAACCGTTTTACGACCTTGCCTGCCTGCCTGTCTTGCCTGCTGCCCGCGCGCGCCTTGGCTGCACGCGCGCGGCCCTTTTTTTTCCCGCCAGTGATGGCCAGGGGCAGCAGCAGCAGCAGCAGCAGCAGCAGCAGCAGCAGCAGCACCAGCAGCCGCAGCAGCGTCAGCGCCACACCCCCACTTCCCAGCAGCTTCTTGACTGGTATGCCGGGCGTGGGGCGTCTTGACTATGAGGCTATTCTTGCTGCCATGTATGCATTGACTGATAGTGCTGAGGGTGATTGCTACTTGTGTGTGCTGCCTGACCCCGGTATAGACCCAGGTATAGCGCCTGTGGCACTAGGTGCTTGTGAGTCTGCTCCCACTGGTACTGCGTCCGCACAGGCCTTGCACACCTTCACACTTGACTCTGGTGCTTCCCGCTGTTTCTTTCGCGACAGCACCACAGTCACTCCCCTCCCTGCACCTGTTCCTGTCTCACTGGCTGACCCCTCTGGGGGCCCAGTGCTTGCACGGTCTTCCACTGTGCTTCCGTGTCCGGCGGTCCCGTCTGGTGAGTTGTCTGGTCTCCACCACCCCTCGTTCTCTACGAACTTGGTGAGCAACGCCGTCCTTCAGGATCACTGGGTTGACACCTTTACTCCTGGAGGACAGCGTGTGGCGATCTGCGCGTGCTCTCGGACCGGCCGCCACATGGCCACGTTCACACGTGCGCCTGGGTCCAGTCTGTACAACCCTTTGTCTCCCCAGCTGTACGCGTCTGCTCAGGTAGCTACCCAGTGTGAGTGTTGCCGGCTGTCGCACGACACTCTCCTGTGGCACCACCGCCTTGGTCACCCCTCCCTGCCTCGCCTTCGTAGCATGCACTCTCGCTTCCTGGTCTCTGGCCTTCCCACGTCTCTGCCTGCCCTCCCTCCCTCGCCTGCGCCGCCCTGCATTCCTTGCGTCGAGGGGCGGCAGCGAGCCGCTCCTCACTCCTCCTCGTTCCCTCCCACAGAGGCTCCACTGCAGACTCTCCACCTGGACGTGTGGGGCCCAGCCCGTATCTGTGGACAGGGCCACGAGCGGTACTTCCTGCTGGTCGTCGACGACTACACGCGTTACACCACGGTCTTCCCCTTGCAGCGCAAGGGGGAGGTCCCTGATGTTTTGATCCCCTGGATCCGCGCTGTTCGTCTCCAGCTCCGCGAGCGGTTCCACTCGGACTTTCCTGTCCTGCGTCTACACTCTGACAGGGGTGGTGAGTTCTCCTCAGACCTCTTGGCAGCCTTCTGTTCGGAGCACGGCATCCGCCAGACGTTCACGCTTCCGGCCTCTCCGCAGCAGAATGGGGTTGCTGAGCGCCGCATTGGCTTAGTCACGGAGGTCGCTCGTACCTCCATGATCCATGCGGCTGCCCCCCATTTTCTGTGGCCGTTTGCGGTCCGGTACGCCGCGCATCAGCTCAACCTCTGGCCCCGTGTCTCCTTGCCGGAGACCTCACCCACACTGCTGTAGACGGGGAAGGTTGGCGATGCGTCGCGTTTCCGGGTCTGGGGTGCTCGTGCCTTTGTCCGCGATACCACCGCGGACAAGCTCTCCGCTCGCGCCATTCCCTGCGTCTTCCTTGGCTTTGTCCCTGACGCGCCTGGCTGGCAGTTTTACGACCCCGCCTCGCGCCGTGTCTTTCCGTCTCAAGACGTCACCTTTGACGAGTCCGTCCCCTTATACCGTCTCTTTCCCTACCGCACTGCCCCTCGCCCCCCCCCGCCGCTCTTTCTCGCCCCAGGTCCTCCCCAGGTAGACCCCCTCCCCGCGCCAGGTCCTGCTCCTTCAGGTGTTTCTCAGGTAGACCCTCCCGTGCCTGCGCCTGTTGAGGTCATTGGTGACTCAGGTCCTGCTGGGGGTGGTGCTGTCTTTGGGGGTGCTGGGCCTGGGGGTGCGGAGCGTTGGGGTGCGGAGCTTGGGGGTGCTGAGCCTGGGGGTGCGGAGCCTGCGCGTGAGGACCCAGGAGGTGCTAAGCCGGGGGGTGAGGAGTCTAGGGGTGCTGGGCCTGAGCGTGAGGAGCCTGGAGGTTTTGAGCCTGGGGGTGCTGTGTCTGGAGGTGCTGAGCCCGAGCGTGAGGAGCCTGAGGGTTCTGAGTCTGCTGCTGCGCGGTCTCCTTGGAGTAGCCGCCTTCGTCCGCATGTGCCTCTCACCTCACAGCAGCTGCACAATTGGTACGGTCGCCGTCAGGGTCGCGCTTCTGGAGCTCGGGGCTTTGCCGCTGGAGGTACTTCTACTAACGTCACTGGAGCTGGGAGTGGTTCTGGTCCCGGAGGTGCTCGTACTGGAGGTACTGAAGCAGCTGGGGCTGGAGGTGCTGCTGAGCCTGAGGGTGCTACTGCTGGAGACCCTGGGTCTAGGGGTGCTGCTGCTGGAGACACTGAGGCTGGAGACCCTGGGACTGGAGGTGCCGGTTCTGGGGGTGCTGCTGTTGGTGGAGCTGGTCCGAGAGGAGCTGGCGCTGAGGGTTCTGGGGCTACTGGAGGTGCTGGAGCTGCTGGGGGTACTGGAGCTGCTGGTGCTGGTGTCGCTGCACAGCCGCGCCTGTTCTTTGCTCCACCGTCTCCGTCGTCTCAACCACCGCCTGACTCTGTGCTTCGCCATGTTCTTAGTCTCCTTTCGTCTACTGGTCTTCCGTTACAGCCTGGCTCACCGCTGCCTGCTCCTTCTCCTTACACTGAGCAGACAAGGGGTCTTACTGAGCGTCGTGAGCCTGCGTCGCGTCCTGTCTCGCCTGTCCGTTCCGGTCGTCGTGTTCCTCGTCCGCGTCAGCAGGCTGTCCTCGTAGTAGGTCGTCCTTCCTCTCCTCCGCAGCGTGTTCCTCTGCCGTCTCCTCCTGCGTCTTCTCTGCCTGTCGTTGCGGACCCTGAGTCTCACCGGTTTCGTGCTGAGCACCCTACTGTCACCCGTCTGCTAGCCACTGTTGTCACTGACCCGTTGTTTGAGTCTGCTGCTGCGTCTGCCTTTGTTACTGAGCTGGTTGACTTTGCTGCTGCCTGTCGTCTAGACTACGCCGCTAGTCTTGTTGCTGAGTCTGAGTCTGTCTGTCCTACATCTGTCGGGGGTGAGTGTGCTCTTGGCACGGACGTCCTTGAGGACAGACAGGAGGACCTTGAGTGTCTTGCGACCGCTGCGCCTCATCTCGTGGCCATGCTGCTTGCCCCTGAGGGAGACCCGGATGCACCAGACATCCCGACCCCGCGCTCTTACGCTGAGGCGATCGCGGGTGAGTACTCCTCTCAGTGGCAGACAGCCATGGACGCAGAGATGGCGTCCTGGAAGTCCACAGGCACGTACGTCGATGAGGTTCCCCCTCCCGGGGCGAACATCGTCGACGGCATGTGGATTTTCAGGGTGAAGCGGCCGCCAGGTTCTCCGCCTGTCTTCAAGGCTCGTTACGTTGCTCGAGGCTTCAGTCAGCGGGAGGGAGTTGACTTCTTCCAGACTTTCTCCCCCACCCCGAAGATGACCACTCTTCGGGTGCTGCTGCACGTTGCCGCTCAGCGTGACTACGAGCTTCACTCTCTTGCCTTCAGCACAGCTTTCTTATAGGGCAGCCTACACGAGGAGATCTGGCTGCGCCGCCCACCTGGCTTCACTGGGTCGTTCCCTCTTGGTACCCAGTGGAGCCTCCGGCGGCCGGTCTACGGTCTCCGCCAGGCGCCACGTGAGTGGCACGACACACTGAGGACGACACTTGCGGCTCTTGGGTTTGCTCCTTCGACTGCTGACCCGTCGCTGTTTCTGCGCACCGACACTTCGCTGCCGCCATTCTACATCTTCGTGTACGTCGACGACTTGGTCTTTGCCACTGCTGACACGGAGGCTCTCGCCCTGGTGAAGTCGGAGCTGCAGAAGAGACACACGTGCACAGACCTGGGTGAGCTGCACAGTTACCTTGGCTTGCAGATCACCCGGGATAGAGCACGCCGCACCATCACTCTGACTCTGTCACACATGGTGTGGCAGGTCCTTCAGCGCTTCGGCTTCACCTGGTCCTCGGCACAGGCCACTCCTCTGGCTACAGGTCACTCGCTCTCAGCTCCACCTTCGGACGAGTCCGTAGAGCCGAGTGGTCCTTACCCAGAGCTAGTTGGCTGCCTCATGTACCTGATGACCTGCACTCGTCCTGACCTAGCGTACCCTCTTGGCCTTCTGGCTCGCTACGTGGCTCCTGGTCGGCACCGAAAGGTGCACATGGATGCTGCTAAGAGGGTACTGTGCTAGTTGTGCAGTACATCGGGCATGGGGCTCGTGCTTGGAGGACGGGGCGACGTTGTCCTCACTGGTCACTCGGACGCTTCTTGGGTTGACGACCAGGCTACGCAGCGGTCGTCACATGGTTACACCTTCAGTCTTGGCTCTGGCTCTGTTTCTTGGCGGTCTACGCGCTCGTCTTCTGTTCTCAGCTCCAGTTGTGAGGCTGAGATCTACGCCACAGCCATGGCTGCACAGGAGTTACGCTGGCTCACCTACCTGCTGACCGACTTGGGAGAGCCGCCTCGTTCTCCTCCTGTTCTGTACGTCGAGAACAAGGCAGCCATTGCCTTGTGTCAGGAGCACATACTGGAGCACAGAACGAAGCACATCGCTCTGCGTTACTTCCTGGCTCGAGAGTTGCAGCAGCGGGGTGAGCTTCGTCTTGCTCACGTGGCCAATCGGGCCAACATTGCTGATATATTCACCAAGGCACTTTCGTCTGGTGATCATCAGCGCTTTTGTACCTTGTTGGGCCTTGTGCCAACGTTTCCGCACTTGCTGTAGACTCTGCTTGTACTGTGATCTATATATATATACCTACATGCTTGCTCTTGCTAGGTAGAGATCACTGTACTGTTCTTGTTGCATATATACCTCTGCATGGGAACTGGCCATGTGGCCTTTTGCTTGTGCTCAGTGTGTGTGGTGACGTTGTGATCCACCCTGAGCTTGCTTTGCTTTTCTTGTTTGGTCTTGTGACCTCTTGCTCTCCCCCACTTTGCCTATGGGGGTGTGTCAAACATATGCATATGTTATATTTGTGGGTAGGCTGTAGTGGGGTAGATAATGTGGGGTATAACCCCTTAGGGTTTTCTCCTTGTACCCAACTTTCTCGATAGTGCAATCATTCCCCTTTACTCTCGACACTCACCCCCCTTCACCCTTCTCATTCCTCGCAGTGCCGGCTAGGGCGTACGGCCCCATCACCTAGTCACAGTTATTGGGGCGGCTGGGAATCAACTTTCGGGTGGAGGCGCTGCTGCAAGTGGCCTCGGAGAAGCAGGAAGAACCCCGTCGCCCCCTCCTTATGCCAACTCTCCCCCATCCCGGCCCCCCCACGCCCTCCCAAACCCTCACAGTGCCAGCGAAGGCGTATGGCCCCATCACCCAGTCACAGTTACTTGGCCGGCTGGGCATCAACTTTCGAGTGGAGGCGGTGCTGCAAGTGGCGTCGGAGCAGCAGGCGGAGGCTCTCAGGGACGGGTACTGGCGGCTCGTGGGCGATGGGGAACCCCCGTGGCTTGATGACGAGGATGAGAGTGCAGGCGTGGAGGGGAAGATAGTGGAGAGGGAGGGGGAGATGGGGGTGCGTGGTGGGGGTGAGAGTAATTCGTCTGGGGAAGGTGGTGGTGGTGGTGGTGGTGGTGGTGGTGGTGGTGGTGGTGGTGGTGGTGGTGGTGGTGGTGGTGGTGGTGGTGGTGGTGGTGGTGGTGGTGGTGGTGGTGGTGGTGGTGGTGGTGGTGGTGGTGGTGGTGGTGGTGGTGGTGGTGGTGGTGGTGGTGGTGGTGGTGGTGGTGGTGGTGGTGGTGGTAGCAGTGGGAGGAGGTCGTTTGAGGGCATGGGGTCGAGGTACAAGGCTCTTGTGATTGCGAGTGACAAGTTAGGCGTGCCGGTTGGATTCGAGTGACCTCGTACTCTGCCTTGTACAATCACGAAGCGTGTTTATTGCACAAACCGCTCACCCCCTGCAGACATTTCTGGTGGGGTTGCTTTCCGGCACGCTGAGGCACTGAAATTGCATGCAGCGATGTTGTCAGCGTGATTTTGTGCCAGGCTGGCTGAGTGGCATGCTTCTGTGAGCTGCATGTACCATGCTTTCATACAGCAGGTCAAGAAAACCGAGGCGTGCTCCAATCATCAGCCAGCATAAATTCTAGTACACATCTTATAAAGGACCCATCTGCCACCACAACACCAATCTCAGGCACCATGTGCACAATGGGAACCAGTGAAATGGACATACAGCCTGACTTACTACCAGCAACAAGCACACCATATGAAGCAGCATCAGCCCAACACCTGGTCACATCACATCCACTAGGGTCTGATCTGACCCCCAGGCTCTAACTCTATCCCTCAGGAGAAGACGACGACCTTCTCATCGGCGCCGTAGCGCACCCAGTTCCCTCCAAACGCCCAGTTCTCGAACCCGCCATTGCCAAGATTCTCCACGGAGAACGCGCCCTGCTTGAAGTAGACGGTGAACTCGGAGTTATCCCAGAAGTGCCACACCTCCACCTGCACGGATTCCGGGTCGCCTTGCACGGAGTGGTCGCTCTGAATGACCATCACGTTGTACCCCGCGTTCATGAATAGATCCACGATCTTCGTCGTCACCTCGTCGTCATTCGGACCGTCGATCGTGCCCAGGCTGCCGGCTTTGATCTGATCCACGGTCACGCCGTCCCAGCTGAAGAGTTTTCGGCGCTCCACCCTCTGCGGGGACACGGCGGAGTCCGCGTGGGCGAGCGCACGGCGGGCGACGCCGCGCGTGGCGGAGGGGGATGCGTGAAGGACGGGCCGCGCGGCGCTGGCGCTGGTGACGGCGAGGAGCAGCAGGAAGGCGAGAGGAAGGGGAAGCAGGTTGCGGCCTGAGTGGAGCCGCGCGGTGCAACTAGAAGTAGCAGCCATGAAAAACTTCTCAGATGCTCAGATCTCGGTGAAAAGCTTGTAAGAAAAGTAGCGGCAATGACAAGGTGAGCTTGCACGCGAATGCGATGGTTTCAGGAGCGAAGCACAGTCGAAAAATGATGCTGTTAGCAGAGCCGTGATCGGTATGCACGAACGACTCTAATACGAAAAGGAAGGAGAATGGAGGGAGAGAATATGGAAGATGTGATAACTATGTCGAGCTGAGCATCTGATTTATAGGCCTTGGCACTCTCTGAGTCTGAGACATGGAAAATCAACCTTCCAGTCGCTCTCAGACACGAGCGCGGCTTGCGACTCGCTTGAGCCGTCATGGCTATCCCCGCAAGCGGACTCCGTCGCGACGCACGCGAAGGGACTCTGACGTGTGGACTACGCTCAGACTTGACTGATACGCGACGATTTAATGGGGTTTCTTCAATGTGACAGGCTGCGGTAGGAGCAATAACTAGTGCAGGGGTAGCTACTGGGAATGCCAGTGCAATAGGCGTGGTGCGAGCAGGCGAGGTGAAGCGTGTTGTGGGGTGGAAGGAAGTGGGTTGGTGCTCGAGGTGGGGTGGAAAGGTTGCTTCGCTACTGAAATGTAGGCGGGACCAGCTCACGGAAGCCCTTCAGAATGAACATTTTGCTAAAGTGGGTATACGGAGCTCATGTGTGAACTTGAATCGATTCGTGGTTTGTTGGAATGTGCAGTTACAACTGGGTTTCTCACACATTACCGCTTTGGAACGCAACACACCGAATGAACCTGTGCTTCAAGAGTTCCGAACCATCGGCAACAAACCTTGGTCGGAGAAACAGTTCGATCTCCTTCCCAATATCTCATCACTCTCACCACATCTCACCACTCACCACCACTTTCCACCCACCATCCACCACCATTCACCTCACCACCACCACCCGCCACCGTGAATTTTGCCTAGGCTTTGTGTTTCTTGAATTCAAGCTCCCTCCCTCCCCCTTGTCTTACTCCCTTGTCTGCATTCCAAAGCCCCTCATCACGACATTATTTAGATACGGTACCTGCACACCCTGCTCTCTCCGCGACCGACCAAGGATGAAAGCTCGCGACGACGGACGCAAGGTCCTTTGTCGGCCCGTCTGCTCAATGGACGGCGACGGACTTGACGGTGACTGGCTTCATGACGACACGTATGACGGAACCCGTCCACAACCCGCAGCAAGGCCTTTCTGGCACCTATGCATCGCGTTTAGCAGCCGCCAGTTCGCCGCTGAAGAGTCTCAGTTTGTGCGGAGAGTGACTGATCCGACGATCCAGATTGGACCGAATGGGCCGCCCGACGACAGCATACTGACTCGATTGGCCATCGATCATCAATCGAGTATCGAGTTTTGACACGAGAGCGCAATCGAAATCTCAACTCTCGACTTGCGATGGGTACGACATCCGAGGTGCCGTGGTCTGTTGCTGACCATCGCGGCGACAACAGTCTTACTGCGCTCTACCTATTGTCAAACTTATATGCTGCTTATTGTGTAGGCTGTAGTGGGGTAGCCCATATGGGGTACAACCCAATTAGGGTTTCCTACTTGTACCCACATTGCTGCTAGTTCATTCATTCCTCTTCGTACTTCTGACATGGTTTCAGAGCAGGTCCTAGCCTAGGACCGTTTTTTTAGGGCCCACCGAACCGAGCTACCCCACGAATCGCGCCGCCCTGCCCTGCCCTGCGTCGCGCTGCCGCGCACGCCCTGCCCTACCCTGCCCGCGCGCTGCTTGCTGCTGCGCGCCCTGCCCTGCCCGCGCGCTGCTCGCCGTCGCGCGCACTGCCCTGCCCGCGCGCTGCGTGCCGCCGCGCCGCGCGCCCTGCCTGCGCGCTGCTCGCTGCCGCGCCGCGCGCCCTGCCTGCGCATCGCTCGCCGCCGCGCCGCGTCGCCCTGCTTGCGCGCCGCTTGTCGCCGCGCCGCACGCCCTGCCTGCGCGCCGCTCGCCGTCGCGCCACGTCGCCCTGCCTGCGTGTCGCCACCGCTGCACGCCCTGCCCTGCCCGCGCGCCGCTCGCCGCTGCGTGCCGTGCCCTGCCCGCGCGTCGCGCGTTGCTGAGCGCCCTGCCCTGCCCGCGCGCCGCCCGCCGTGCGCCCTGCCCTGCCCACGCGCCGCCCGCCGCCGGCCCTGCCCTGCCAGCGCGCCGCCTGCAGCCGCGTGCCCTGCCCTGCCTGCGCGCCGCCCGCCGCCGGCCCTGCCCTGCCCGCGCGCCGCCCGCCGCCGTGCGCCCTGCCCTGCCAGCGCGCCGCCAGCAGCCGCGCGCCCTGCCCTGCCCTTGCGCCGCTAGCAGCCGCGCTGCCCTTCCTGTGCGCCGCCCTGCTGGCCGCTGCACTGCCCTGCCCTCCTTGCGTGCTGCCCTGCTGCTAGCACGCATGCCTGCTCTGCCTGCTATGGCGACCCTGAGCGTCATCACCTTTGATTCTGAGGGCCGCCCGATAGAGTTCGACTCTTGGCTCGATGACTTACAGCTATTCTTACTGAGCGACTCTAAGGACGGTATTTCACTGTTCGACCTCACTTCTGGCGCTTCCGTCGCCCCTTCCGACACAGCTGACAGTGCGACTCGCTCACATTGGCTTACTCGTGACGTTGCTGCTTGCCTAGCCGTTTGCAACCACCTGCCGTTAGCCGAACGCGCTCTTTTGGACAGCACAAGTTGGAAAGCACTGTACGACGCTGTAGTCGCTCGTTACTCCTCCCCGGCCACTGCTGCTCTAGGCCGCCTTCTCCTGCCCTACCTGTTCCCAGAGCTGTCTGCCTTTGCCACAGTAGCCGACCTCGTCACTCACCTTCGCTCTAGTGACACTCGCTACCGCGCTGCGCTTCCCGCCGAGTTTCTCACCAAGAACCCTCCTCCCATGTACATCACTCTCTACTTCATAGTCACCCGCCTCCCTGACTCTCTTAGCACTGTCAGGGACCTCCTTCTCGCCCTCGACCCCACCACCCTCACTGTCGACCTGCTCGAGAAGCACCTCCTTGCAGCTGAGACTAGCATAGTCACTGTAGGCGCTTCTCGTGGCACTCCTCGCGCTCCCTTCTTTGAGGGGTGTTCGCCCTCCCCCCTTCTCCCCTCAGTCGCCTCTGCTGCAGTTGTTGACTACCTTCGTGCTGAGGAGGTAGGAGCTGCGTCTGCCCCTAGTGGGAGGCGCCGCAGCGGCAGGGGCAGGGGAGGAAGGGGCGGTGGGGGCGGCAGAGGTGGAGGCGGTGGTGGGGGCGGTGGAGGCGGTGGAGGGGGCGGCGCTGGCGGAGGGAGTGGTGGTGGGGGTGGAGGTGTAGGTGGCGGCGGCGGTGGCGGCAGTGGCGGTAGTGGCGGCGGCAGTGGTGGCAGCAGTGGGAGTGGAGGCGGTGGCAGTGGTGGTGGCCGGGGTGGTACCAGTCAGAGGGGAGGCCTTGGCGGTAGTCAGAGGCAGCAGCAGCAGCGTCAACTTTCGCCGCAGGAGCTACGTGAGTGGTTTGCTCAGCGTGGGGCGGCTGGGGGTAGTGGTCCCTGCCCGTATGTCATTCGCACAGGTTTTGGCACTGGTCAGACATGCGGGAAGCTCCACACCCAGTACCGCTGCTTCTCTCGTCTTACCGATGCCTTCCGCGCAGAGTTTCCCGACGCGGCTGAGCTCCCCCGCTGGGCAGAGCTGCTTAGGCAGGGTGTAGACATCTTTGCTCTTGATTATGATGCTATCCTTTCTGCCATGTATGCATTGACTGTTAGTGCTGAGGGTGACTGTTACCTGTGTATGCCGCCCGACCCAGGTATAGAGGTCGCTGCTCTAGGTGCTGGTGAGTGTGCTGCTCTAGGTGCTGGTGAGTCTGCTCTCTCTAGTACTGCGCCTCCTGAGGCCTTGCACACCTTCACGCTTGACTCAGGTGCTTCCCGCTGTTTCTTCCGCGACAGTACCGCACTCACACCACTCCCAGCACCTGTTGCTATCTCTATGGCTGACCCCTCTGGGGGCCCAGTCCTTGCTCGTTCCTCCACTGTTCTCCCGTATCCGGCGGTTCCGTCTGGCTCACTGTCAGGTCTTCACCTCCCCTCGTTCTCTATGAACTTGGTGAGCAACGCCGTCCTTCAGGATGTATGGGTTGACACCTTTACTCCAGGAGGTTAACGTGTGGCGATCTGTACGTGCTCCCGGACTGGCCGGCACCTGGCCACGTTCACCCTTGCGCCTAGCTCGAGTCTGTACACACTGACTACTGTGACTCCTCAGGTAGCTGCGTCTGCGTCTGCGTAAGGTCAGCTAGCGGCCCCCTGCTCGTGTTGCGCTCTGTTGCACAAGACCCTCCTTTGGCACCACCGTCTTGGTCACCCCTCAGTGCAGCGCCTCCGTGGCATGCACTCTCGTCTCCTTGTCTCTGGTCTTCCCAGGACTCTGCCTCCCCTCCCACCCTCGCCTGCCCCTCCCTGCCTTCCCTGTGTCGAGGGGCGGCAGCGCGCCGCTCCTCACTCCTCCTCGTTTCCCCCGACGACTGCTCCCCTGCAGACTCTCCACATGGACGTGTGGGGCCCAGCCCGCGTCCGTGGACAGGGCCGCGAGCGCTACGTTTTGCTGGTTGTTGACGACTACACGTGTTACACCACGGTCTTCCCCTTGCGCAGCAAGGGGGAGGTCCCTGATGTTTTGATCCCTTGGATCCATGCTGTCCGTCTCCAGCTCCGCGAGCGGTTCGAGACGGACCTTCCCGTCCTGCGTCTGCACTCTGACAGAGGTGGTGAGTTTGCCTCCGACCTTCTGCGGGACTTTTGTCGTGGGGAGGGCATTCGCCAGACGTTCACGCTTCCGGCCTCTCCGCAGCAGAATGGGGTTGCTGAGCGCCGCATTGGCTTAGTCATGGAGGTCGCTCGTACCTCCATGATCCATGCGGCTGCCCCCCATTTTCTGTGGCCGTTTGCGGTCCGATACGCTGCGCATCAGCTCAACCTCTGGCCCCGAGTCTCCTTG